ATCTAGCATGTTACGTACAGATGTAACAAAAATTATGTACATTAATCTGGTTACCTAATACCTGCCAGCTGCTTTTCCCTTTGAGTATCTGCAAGTCGATCAATTATATACTCGTATCTTTATCCATCTTGTTTAGCATAATAAGTGCGTATCACCTTGAATAGTTTCGGCAGTCCTTCATTTGGCAGCAGTCAGGCGTGAGTCTTAGAAATGTCGTCAACTGCCGAGCCAAGCAATTATGGATGAGAAAAGCAGGTGTTCTCCTCCTTCTTTTTTTTGGCATGCAGCCGCTGCAATTTGAGACCCATTTCAATGTACAGTTGTATAGAAAAAGGACTAAGCACGCGGCTAGCGAAGGTGAAATTAGGACCAAGCATCATTTGAGTGGAAGTGATTAATGCCAGAGAAGTTTGAACGATGCCCTTCTGGTCCATCATCGTATTTCTCTGCGATTCCTTGCCCCGCTCTCTATTAACCTACCAAGCTCAGCATGTTATAACTTTGCTTTATTTTCTTGGTTTCACTAAAAAGTCCTTTTGAAAAACAAACTCCCATCAAAGAGGCTCACGAAACAACTCAAAAGCCAAGACAAGTGGGAAAAGCTGAATGAAAACTTGTAAGTCCTTTTTCGACAGCTGCTCCGACTACCAGGGAGCATTTATATGGGTGGCGACCACAACTCAACAAGAAAGTTCATTAAAATTATGCCCTTTTCTAATTTTTTGAATTGCTCGGTAGGAAAGGAAGAGCGGTGTGGGGCAGACCGCTCGATAGGCACTTGTTTTGCCTTCCTCGTTCTTTGCTTTTGACAATAATCACTGGACTGTTAATTTGTTTCGAGCACAATTTTTGGTTCCCTCTCTTTTTTCTTTCTTTTCCAGATGAAGAAACTTTGGCGCATGCAAATAAGTGAATCAAAGTTTTTAAATGCACAAACAACAACGTAAGAGAACCCAAACTTTTAAAATTTTAAGAATTGGCTCCATCTGGTGAGCTCAGAGGGTGTGGCACTCACCAAGTACACCCTTATTAGTTGAAAAAGGGTTAGCCAGAATTTGAATCCTCATTGGTTACTTGCTGTCTGTCCAGCCCTTGTCCAAGGGTTGGGTACAATGTGGAGCTTCAAAGGGTTGAATGCCTAAAACAAAGGGCGTTCTTGCAATGACGGTCACTGAGTGAGCTGTTAAACCATCCCTATCGCATTCACTTTCTCCTCTTTTACATGATGGATTTATTTATGTGGTCCGCTTAAATTTATATTCTAGAAGCAAGCACAAAAAATAACCCCATCCGAAACACAGCATGGTGAATAATGTCAAGTTATTCATAAAAAATGTTTTTCAAACTAAAAGAGAACAGTTTTTTTTCTCCAAAATCAGGAGCTATTGAAATAAATACATACATACATACTGCAACCAAATACCTTGTCGCAGTTGCCTGAAATGAAAGGAAAAGCCGTACCTTTAATTTCTATTAGTTTCGATGGAGTACATCTAAATACATCGATTGACAATAGAGAATATTTCATTTCAATTCGATTGCAAGAACTTGTGTCGTTTTGCAACGGCACACGTTACAAGGTTGCCGTCGCCACCCAACCACCGTATTTCACATTTTTCTATATTGAGCATCCCATCCAAATTTAGAACAAATGTTTGCTGCTGTACCGTTGTATTGTTCCTCCGTCTGGCCATGTAAAAAAAAGGTTTCGCGCTTTTCCAAGGGTTGGCTCGGTGCAAATAATTTATGGCTCCCGTGTGTGCCCCCTTCTGTCTTTAAGCTCAACCAAGCTCCAACTTCCTTTATTTTTCTCTGTCTCACTCTTATTCTTTCCTTATGGCTAATCTGACATGAGCTTAATGAAAAAAAAAATCATTGGAATTTGCGTCCTTCTTATGCGCGCTCTGTCCTCATTTGCGCTTGTGTGCGCTTTGAAATAATTTAAATTACTCAGAGGTGGGGTTCCTGATCAGTTTTTGTAAGTAACCAGAATCTGATGAAAGTTTTTATATACCTATGTATGTATATATTTATGTATATTTCCTTACATATATGTATGTATGTCCTTAGCGATAAAAATCCACAGCAGCACTCAAGCGCTCCTCCAATACGCCGCACAGCAATTAAAATTTTCCATTTCATTCAACTGAAAACGTAAAAAGTTTTCACCATTCTGAGTTCTATACTTTGCTTTTCTTTCACTGATTTGTTTATTTGAAGTTTATCAAAACAAGAAGATGGATGGGAAGAAAAAGCAAGAAGAAAATGTAGCCCCTAACTGTGGTTAGCAGAAACTTCTACCCGCCTCATCCACCATCGACCTATCCACCAGCCAGCCAATGGGACCATTCATTTACACTGAATTAAGTTTATCACAAACATGGCAACCGGGCCTCCGTCCCAGATTTCCTTAACTAAAAATAGGCTGTCGAAGAGGAAGAAAAATTAAAGCGCCTGTCACTTGCAATTATTTTGCCCATGGGCAAAAATCCGCTTCACTTGCTCACCCCAAATGAAAAAAAATAACTGAACTGATCCGTTCCGTTTGCTGAGTTAGAAAAGTAAATCGTGCAAGCGAATCATTCTTTATTAATAGTGTTATATTTTGACTGTCACCATTAATTAATAGAGCAGTCCTTATCCTAAGATTTCTGCCTTTGAGAGTATACATTAAGTATTTCGAGATGAAATTCTTATTATATAACTACTAGTATTTGAACGTATAGGTGGCGAGCGGCAAAAGAGTTATACAAAATTTGAATACAAAAAATGTCACCCCACACTTTTTGCAGCTGCAGTTTATGCAAATGAGTTAAATCGGGAATGAAAAAGGGATAGTGTATCCTATGCCCCGTGATCTAATGTCCCGTCGGGGTTGTAATGAGAGGCCCGCCGGCTGAATAAACGAATCAAAAATATGAACCGAATCAATTCCGGACCGTAGGTATGAAAGGCAAAATCAATAAGCTTTTGTAATTCAATACAAAGGATACTTCTTGGACTTTTCCTTAAATTCATTTGAAACCCTCACTATTACTTTAAAATGTGTGTCAAGTTATTTTACATCGCTATTCAATCAAAGAAACCTTGGGCCTTTATATACTCGAAGATTTCAAAGATATTCTTCGACTTTTCCGGTCGATTAAACGAATGCTGTATTGTATCCAATAGCGTACTTATGTACTTTTACTTAGTCCGTTCGAAAACCTTCAAATTCGTACGATTTCCGAAAAAAACTTTGAAAGTTGAACTTTAATATGTTTTTGAATAACGCGTATCTTTTTGCCGAAACATTTTACTTGGTTTGGACAATCGTATTTTGATTTCCTACATTCTTAGCTCACCGGGCACACTGAATGACAAATACATAGACTTCCACACTAAGCGTATAATTTGAATGACATAAACAGGAACTGAAAGTAGACCCATCCGGTGTCCACACTTCACGCAAAACCTTTCACCTTTTTGCTCCCCTCCGGTTCTTTGTGAATTATATGTTCCATTATCATAGAAAGGCTAACCCTAATAACTTTTCAAGTGTGTTGCTGACACGTTTCGCTCAGATCTTTTGCATTTATAAAAAAAGCAGAAATTGGACTGGTGTTTGGGCGTTTTAAAGTCCAAGGAATTTCTACATTGGATGTTTTACGTACATGTTTTAGGACCTTAAAACATATGTACATATGTTCTTAATTTGTGTATTTTCAGCAATATTTTAAAATGAAATAATACCAGTGCTCTGAAGACTAAATGAGGGAAAATTTCCTTTAAATGACAAAAAAAAGAATGTGCTGAATTTTAAATTTTAAATTTGAACTAGATACTAGTTTAAATATGAAGTTGGCTATAACCAACTAGACATGCTTTGCTACATATTCAGTATTCAATACTCACACCAGAAAAATCAAGCATAAAAGTATACACAAATTGTTGTAAATAGAATGGGTACCTGCTTGGAGCGCTATTTTTGCCCCAACAAGCCTGTTTGCAGTACTGGGAGAAGAGCAACGTTCTACTTTCCTGGTGGGGGCACATATTCTGGTTACTGGAAATGCAACCAGCACCAAGGCTGGGGCGTGAAGAAGACGGCAAAGCGAACTTCCAAGTACTTTTTTGATAAAAAGGAGCCCGATGGTCAACTCGTCTATGAGGGTCATTGGCTGATGAACAAACGGCAAGGGATTGGGTCGATGCTGCGCAAGCGTGGCTCAGATTTGCAGCTGATATATGCGGGGCGTTGGTACGATGATATGAAGTGCGGCGAGGGCAAACAGTTTTATCCCGATGGCTGTGTCTACTTCGGAAACTGGCTTAGGAATCGACGACATGGTCTTGGCATTCAATGGTACGGAGGTGGGGGCATTTATGTGGGCGAGTGGGAGACTGATTTCCGACATGGCTTGGGTGTCATGTTTTATGGTTTGTATTTTTCATAAGCTTGATATGATTTCATGCCTAAAAATTATCCCAAAACTTAGCTAATGGCAATCGTTACGAAGGACACTTTGCGCGTGGATATAAAAATGGCGAGGGTGTGTTCTATCATATGCACACTGGTCAAATTCAAAAAGGAATGTGGGAAAATGATAATGTAAAGACATCCCTAATGCAAGATGAAACCCTTATTCGACGCCATGACACAGTCAGTCCATATTCGATACCACGGAATTATATAAAATACCCCAATGAAATCATACGCGAGCTTTTCCAGAGATACAAGCCTTTCAGCGATAAGCCACACCGTCGATTCAATGACAAGGTCAGTCTGGAATTTATTTATCACCGCCGACAGTTTGCTTCCTTCGAAGAACGTGTCGTTTCGCCAACTATTGTGGATCTCTATCCGGATTATGGATTTGTTTGCACTTGCGACTGCGCTCAGATAGCTAGAAACGAAACAATAATAAGTCAGATCTAAATCATATTGAAAACACCAGGATTTAATATAAAAAAGCACAAAAGAGGGAACAATTTTTGGTCATATATATTTTATTACAAACTTATTTTTTTTTTTAAATTCTCAAATCTCAAGAAGGTTTTAAGACTGGAACAAATATATGAACCTAATACAAATTGTTTATTAATTATTAACGCTCCATTTAGTTGTCATATTTTCATATTTCATATTTTTCTTTCATTGTTTAATGTTAAGAATCACCATTAGAAACTTAAGCCGACAGCGTGAGTTTTTTCAGTAATGGCCGCCAAAATACCTGCGCTTCGCCACTGTCCATACCTGGGAGAACGCCCATGCCACGCCCAAAACACACCACCCAACCAACCCCAAAAGGCACCCACGTTTTCTTCTTAATGATAAAAGAAAGGACATTAGCGAGCCTCGACACATCTCCACGTTTCGAGCGTCTTTCAAGTGAAAAGCAAAGAATTAAAAAAAATTAACAAAAAAAAAGCAAAGTAAAGAAAAGCGATGGTAAAAAGAAAGCAGAAAAAAATGGGGACGCGTACAATGAAAGAAGAGCAAAAGATTTCCTCCCACCCCAATGCCATTTCCTTTCCACTGGCTAGCTCTCCATTTATCAAGTTGCTTTTATTTTGTTGCGCGGGCGTAGTTAAAAATTAATAAATGAAATTAATGCTGGCGACACTTGGCAAGGCATTGGACAGCGCAGAAGCTGAAGATGTTGCCAAGGTTTTCTTTGACTTCCCTCTGTTTACATCAAAAACATTTTCGTTTGAAATATTAAGCGCCTAAAAAGTCGATAATGCTTTTTTCTTGCCTGTGACAGCTGCGTCGCATGAATTTAATTAGGGCCACCCCAAATTTTCCTACAGAGGCAACACTTTTTCTTGGCCACAAGTCCAAGTCCAACGCAATTAACTGCCCATCCCCGCCAAGACGAAAGTAAAAACTTTTACGAAAAAAAATCTCTGTAAATTCATCTTTGTCGTTGCCGGTGATTAATCACAAGCAAGAACGTTGGAAAGAGAGGAAGACTGAAAGGGAACTACGTGCCCTGACCCATTGAACAGGTGTAATGTTGGAGAAGTGTGTGTGGGTTTCCTTTAAACTGTCCCCCCGGCGCCGTTAGGCGGTGACTACACATTTTCAAAACTTTTAGCTTAATATGCAAAAACAGAGTAAGCTTCGTGGCGGATTAAAAAGTTTTTCCAGTTACTCCTCAAACCTCCAACAGCAAATGGAGTAGGGCATTAAGCGCTCTAAGGCAAATTAGCGTGTGGCACGGCTGACTGTACGTCCGCAGACTGGTACACATGGGAGTACATACATTGGTTTAAATTTAAGGGGAATATTCACGATTGAAAATTATAAAGAAAAAATAGCTTATATTCGGCAAGCCGAAACTGACAGACTCAGACTTAGTTTTCAAGGGTGAAGGTCTTAAAGTGCTCGTTATTAGGTGGTAAATTATCTAAAATACCACCATCAGGGTTTCGCGAAGCAATTGGCGGTTCAAATATAGATGGACCGAGTCCCGATGAGAGTGAAGGAAAAGAAATGGGATTAATGATAGTCCTTCCAGGCGGGAACATTTCATCAAATGTAGCTGTATCCAGGATTTCGTTGGCCACATCCAAAAACTTTTTAGATAGACCACTCTCCAGACCAGGAACAATTTCATTTAGATATAATTCCTGATTGCTGTTGATGAGGGTGTTTCCCAATTCTCCCAAAATCCGATCGCCGTTAAAGAGGTTTTCTAAGTTCAACTTAAAATCCTTAAATTGTATGCGCATGGTCATCTTGGTGAACTTTACATACTCCTTACCGTTTCGCAAATAGCGAGTGCCACGCATTTTGACAAAAGCCTTAGCATTATCTATTTGATAATGAGTATCGGTTATAATTAAACGAATTGTTCATATGTAAATTAAATGTAAGAACTTACCGGCGTATCCATGCATATTTCCTCTTCCCTTAATATCCAAAAGCAGCAAATTTAGATGCATAGAATACTTTCCCTTAAAGTCTATGCGCGGGAGAGTTATCCAAAGATCGTAAGATATTTCCAATGGCTTGGCACTTCAGTAAAGAGACAATAGGTTAATTGATGGTTTTTTTTTTAGCCAAAAACTCTTCCTACATTAGACGATCAATAATAAAGTTGCTGCCTCCTCTAGCCTCAAGGTGTGTAAACACAGCCTGGAACTGACTACTTTGGCCGAGTTCTATGTTATCCAAAGACAGGGGCTCCAATGGTGGTGTTTTATAGCCATCTCCTAGATCGCCATGCATTAGTCGCGGCTTTATCTGGTACACTGCATTAATGATACAGCGTTCTAGCTGAGGATCATCACGAGCACATGGTTTTATAGAAGAAGCTGTGAACGATTTAATTAAAAGATATATTATTAATTTTTTGTCGATTTTAGTTACTTTAATTATTGGAACCGTTTTTGAATAAGTTTTTCTGTTTTTTCGTTTTCTACTAGTCAACCTTGCAGGTGTCAACGAACGATATTTATATGCAAGTCACTTGCTATCGCCGCAATGCTCGCTTACCAAATTTTTTTGTGTGGTTAACATACGAGCCAATGGAACAAATGCTTTTTCAAGGACATTGAATAGAATTTGTGACGTTTATTCAATAAATATCCCTCACTATATATTTATAGAGAAATGACCCAATCAAATCCTACAAGAAATCACACTTTCCGACCCATTACGCACAGCTTGACACTTACGTAACTTGGCATTAGTCCAAGGACACATTGACAACGACATCATCAGCAACACCAATCTGTTGGTACACCAATTGGAGATCATTTTCGGAAGAGCTGTTATAAAGCACTACGAGAAGATATGGTAATGGAAAGAACCGTTGTCGTTGCGCTCGATCGATGGACTAACTATTCGTCGTCTCACACTGTGCTTTTCATTGAATTAAGCGAGGTGAACTAAAGTCTGTATGGCGACATTTTCGACGCTTTTAAGGGGTGGCCGGCGGAAAGAAGACAGAGGCGCGCGACAAGGCGTAGATATATTTGTATCTATTGGAAATTAAGCTCACACGCCAACACTCGCCGCTCAGGGGCATGGGCACGTGAGTTGTCGCCTCGCATGTAAAGTTAAATTTATGTAGTTTTAAGTGAATTAAAACAAAACTCAAGTTTCTGCTGTAATGCTTAATAATAAATTCAGGCAAATCAGCTGCGGAAATTTGAATAATAAATTTGACCACCCTCCTTTGGGGGCGAAACACTTGACGCTTGATTTGTTAAATATGCGCAAATATAGCACAGAACTAGATTGAGAATCGCATCTACATCAATCATAAAAAATACAAAATGTTTATATTTTTCGATGCAAATGCTCAATTTGCTAACGAAGCAAACAAGAGAAAGACAAAAGGTGCTTATGACAATGAGAGAAATCCTAAGGCAATACTACTCGTATACTCTTTAAGGCACCACAACACCCCCACTGACAAAACGGGAAAATTTTAAGAACGCAAGATAAAACCAAAAAAGAGAGTTTAATCGGAATAAAAACTTTATTTTCGATGTACTTATTATGCTAAAAATGTATAATGCTTCGAATGGATATTAAGTTCGAATATTGAATTCTGCTTGACTCTCAACTAGATTTACCGCGACAATAAAATCTTTAATATGTACATATGCATAAGAGTAGAAAGGAAATTTAATTTCAATAATATATTTTAATCTGGAGACCCAGCAAATGGTTTGCAAAACTAAACTACTTTCCTTCGGGCAATTAAGCACACTGAACCTTGGCACTATGTGAATTTGAAAAGGAACTGGTATGTATCATATGTTTTTCCAAGCAGGGGGATAACAAAATTTGACGAGTTCTTAAACTGAATTGCAAAAAATGAAAGTTAACAAAATATATATTTTAAACTAAGAACTTCGTTTAGTCGATAATCTAAAGGAAAGCTTACAGTAATTGCGCACCCTCTCAGCTCAATTTAGAGGTTACCTGGTCATAAAACCTGCCACGCATTTCGATGATGGACCCCATGAAGAAAAAAGAAAACAGTTGGCAGACCGTCAGAAAAAGCAGGTTCACCTACCATCCCCTATCATACAACTTTTCTTTTATTTATGCCGTTTTCAAGAAAATAGAAACACATCAAATTTGTAACAAATTACATTTGATGCATGTAATAAAAATCTCGCACAGCTGCCCAAACGAAAATTCTCTCTTCTACAGAAATAGGCGTTCACACCGCATTTTGGCCTAATTAAGTTTGCAAGTGCAATAAAATGATGGCTGGACCCTGCTATAATATTGAGGGTAGGGTGAGTGGGCGGCAAAGTCTCTATTGCGTGCGGGCATCAATTTGCGCACAAGTACATAAAACACAAGTTAAAAACTTAAATGGATTTACCTCAAAATGACGAAAAGCGGTGGTGAAGAAGATGATGGTCAAAGTACACGCGCTGAGAGTATCCTCTCATGTCATGATTCAGCCAGAAATCGTATTTATTTCTTTTCAGAACGAAACAAACCGAGCCTACGCGGCTTGGCCGCCGTATCGCGCTCCTGTGATTTACGAATGTCTTTTGTACGCTGCTGTCTGACCTGCTTTCTCAGCTGACCCTCATCCAAAAGACGACTGGACTCTTTTTTCGTTGCTTTGTAGTTATATTACAGAGCTGCGTTTTCTAAACGGTTTTAAACTGCTCTTCATTGCTTTCCTGCTCATCATTGCCTTGCGGTTTGGTTGCGACTCCTCCGTATCACTGATAAGAACTCGTCTTTGTCGTCATCAGGTTATATAGGTTTCGTGGGCTGTTCGTAGGCCAAAACATAAAACATAAAGATGCTATAGCGGCAGAACTTGAAATATGGCGACGACCAAGCAAATGATTGATCAAATAATGAAATTTCATGACATTTTTGAACGCATGTACAGAACGTATCTAGCACTTAAGAGAACTGTACACATATACAATTCAAAAGGATAGAGCATAATTAGATCAAATAAATAGATACCGCGCTACTTGAACTAATAAAAAAGATATTGAATTGAAATCGAAATTGTTTCTCTAGCATTTAAGTGCGCGCGTACAACATTTTGGCGCAAAGGTAACATTAAAAAAAAAAATGAATGAACTATCAGCATTTCTGAATAAAAACCGCATATATAAATTGAAGATTCAATACCGTCTATGACTTGAACTTACTCTACGCGTTTTAATCTAAAAGACTCTCAATATAGTCGGCATCTTCCTGAAAAAACTTCTCGGCATGATTGGTGGCTGGGCACCTCAACGCTTTTGTAGTTATCAAGACCAATTTCTTCCTCTTTTTTGTAATAAAACAGAAAGCGTTACAAAAGACACAAGCTTGATCAAAATGTCCACGACATTTGCACGCAGAATTTCACGACCGCGCCGCGTGGAGCACAACTGGAATAGGCATTCCAGAAGCATTTTCCTCACATCTGGATCTGTTTCAGCTCTTTTGCTTTCGAGCAGTTACTGGAAGAACCAGGGAGAGACGTTTCTTAGCTGTGCAACTGGGTAGACTCATCTGAAACTCAATTGGCAGCATTTCGCTGTCCTCTTCGCTAAACTCTTCCGGGCCGCAGAGTGGCTGCAGAATGGCCACCAATGTGTTGTCATCTTCGCCGAGTATCCCGTTGTGGTAGACCGAATCGAAGCAAACGTTCTTCTGGATGCCAATGGTGCCGCCGCGACGCACCACATTCTCCACGTACGAGGCGAAGGGCAGCAGCTTCTCCAACAGATGGTAACGCGCATGGCAGCACAGCTCCCGGCCGCTCGGCACCTGCGTCAGGTTGCAAAAGATGGGTGCCAGGTAGTGGAGACGCGCCTTCATCTTGTTAAAGTCCAGTGGGGAAAAGGCCCTGGCCAGCCGTGGCAGCGTCTGCTCGCCTCGCTCCAGAATGTCGAATATTTCGTGGACGAATCTCTCTACGCGTGTCAGATTGTTGAGCACCATGCTCCAAGGGCTGCAAGTAATCAAGGGGGGTATGAGGGTGTCCCCTTTACAGAGTATCTGCCCGTCTTACAGGCTCCGTTCGTTTGGCCAAATTAAACACTTTGATGGCGCACTCCTCTGCCGTGAGATTGATAATTGCATCCTTGGCCACAGTGTGGTTTTCGTCGAATTTCAGAAGCAGCTCATCCAGGGAGAGTATTGCTGCTTTTCCCTCTGCGCTGCCCGTGAGACCAGTAAACGAATGGCATGTGACGTCACTGTTGCCCACAAAACCAAAACATTCCCAGGTAGTAGAGGTGTCAAACCATCGAAGGCACTATCGATAGTATCGATCTTTTTCTGCTAGCCACTACTATCGATGGTTTTGCGACTATCATGATAGTATCGAGCTACAGTTGTTGCGCTTTTGATATGTTTGGATTGGCTGCTCTAAAATACGAAGACAAATTTGTAAACAAACTGACTGGTGACATCTAATTTTTACAATGGACAAGTTCCTAAAAGGTTTCAATGGTTGTTTAATAATTATTTCAGCCCGATAATATCACGATAGTATCGATTGTATTTTCAATACATTCGACGTTGATATTCCTCGATATTGATATTCCGTTTAATATTACCAGCTAGCTGGGACTCTCAGCCCTAAACAAATAATTTTATCCGATAGATACCAAAATTTTGTTAAGAGATTGGCAAGTTTTCAGAAGTCCTTTTTATTAGATTATTTACATATTAAGGTTCAAACAAAAACAGCATAAAACGAATTTGTCGTCGTTTTGTGGCGTTGCCAGACTCGTGCAATTCGTAGTTGCTGCGGGCTGCCATACCGTGATATTTTGTGATATGAAATTCGTCAATTTTGATATTCAGTTTAATATCACCAGCTAACTAGGACTCTTACCGCTGAACATATTATTTTATCCGATTGATTAATCAATTTCCCACAACATGGCCCAACTTTAAGGACACCATTTATTGAATTGTCTATAAAACAAGCCGTTTAGTTAGATGTTATGGCCCTTTGAATAAGAGTACAGGCCTTGCTTTCCTGGTCAGATAGTTGGTCATGAGGGACAAGGGACAATTTAAATATGTGCATTAACAAACCAACTTAAAAATAATAGAACTACCTAGCTAGTCGGTTGTTTCCATTTTTAGAACAAATTTCTCCATTATACCATTAAGCCGCTTGCGTTCCTTGAGCTGTTGCTGCATCAAGTCTGAGATCTGCGTGCCTAGAGCTAGGATCGCCTCTGTATTGGCTTCTGTACGCTGGGCGTTCAAGCGAGTCTGTTTATTTAAGTCCCGAAGCTCCTTTGCGATGTCCATTAGCATCGGCACCGCGCTTTCGTTTCCAATTTCAAATGCACTTGCATCATTATGAACCAGTTTGCGCTTTTTGACAGGAGCTTGTGAAGTGCTAATGCGCTGTTCCATTTTCACACTCATTCTTCTACGATGGATCCGACTGGCGCACTCATCATCTTCCTCATCATCTTTATATACAAAATAGGATATTAATTTGATGCGGGTTGCGACTTAAATAGTCTTACCGTCATCTGTGGCTGTGACCTCATCGTAGTCGGTCTTGATTTCCTGCAGTTGCAAACTGTTTGATATTTCCGGACGTGCCTTTGGACGAGATTCGACTACGCTGTCTGCCATATCATACAAGTCACAGATCACGGCCACTGCATCCTCTAGAGCTGTGAGCGTGTCCTGATACAGCGAGCCTTTGCCGCTAGCATTTGAATCCTCCAACCTGTTATTGGTAATCTTTTTACGAATGCAGCTTTTCCAGTCTTTCCATACCTATCAAGAGCCAAGTGTGATGACGGAACATATGGTGGATTGCTCGTTGCTCGGCACTTACTCTCTTCCACTCACAAGCTTCTTTCACAGGAGGGCCCACGGTATTTAGTTCCTTTGAAAGGCGCTTCCATGCAGCCTCCGCAGCCAGTTTATCACCCTTGATGTAGTTCTTGGCTATCATTGGATGTCTTTCCATAAAGGCGATGAATATGGCATCTTGCTGCGCAGTTCTATGCTTGCCCCTAAACACAAAGAAGGTAACTCAACCTACTTATGAAAATTTTGTATCATTACTTACATTGTTCGAGGTTTTTTTATTTAACTGCTGCGAGATAGTGTGTATTTTAATTTATGTGTTTTCCGCAGCGCCGTGGTCACAATACGTGTTTTTCTAGCAATTGGAATTGTTGGTCTGGAGGAATACATAAAAATCCATTGGATGTCATGCGGCGGAATGGGTATTGGATTTGTTTGGTGTTTAAATTAACTTTGTCGTTTCTAATTGGATTTTTTTTATTTTCATAATTGTGGACAAACGTTATTGGAATTATAAAAATTCAATTGGGCTCAATTTTCAACGCATAAATGAGCCATCAACCGATAACGATATTTCCAAAATAATATATTTTAATAAATATTTTTTTCGTATTTTTATTCAATATAGTGACTTCCACATTTCGACTTGAAGTTTCACAGCACTAATTATCTCTTTGATAACGCGCGCCTTAATTTAAATTTGAAAAGCGTAGGCCAAGCTGATTTAACAGCATCTGCTTAAATTATAGATATTGATATATATCAATAATATCAAGCCGTATCAGAAAAAATATGAATAGCGCCGAAAAATCCATTTTAACTGATTTGAAGATATGATGAAGAACTGATTTGCACATTTTGCTCCGAGTTATTCACCCAGTCCCAAACGAGCCATATCTTATCACACATATTAGTATTTGTAGATAGCCACAAAAACTGATAAGCTTCGACCCAAAGATAACCACATTTACCACACTTGGGCGAGGCACTAACTTTCTCAAAAATCCCATTTCAGTCCGAACAGTTCAACAGGTGGAATAAGGTAAAGCGCTATTGATATCGGTAGATGGAAAATAGACTTTCAAAGAGTGATAAATCGAAAAAGGGAAATATTTTGCAATAAAAGAGTGAACTGTGCTAATGTGTACGAAAAAATAAATGAAGCAATTCCTCAGCTACAGAAAATTGCCAAGACCACCTCGAAAACTAAAATTTGAGAGCTCTAAAAGATTGTTATCTAATCAGAGTGGCTTAAATTGTAGTGTGTTGGCTAATATATAGTGATTTCATAAATTGGGACTCGGGTCTGTAGTGTTCTTTTGTGAGTTTTACACCTGACTCATTTTCCTATGTATGCATAGTTGTTGGTCCTCGTACTCGTACCCGTATCGCAAACTAGCGGTATTATCTGTTTCATGGCAATGCCAATAAATATGAGCCAGCAATGCAAAGGAAAAGAGTACAAAAATTCGTTGTGGATCTTATAATAGCTGATAACCGATATCGGTATAGCTACAGTACATACAATATATGTACATACATATATGTACATACATATGTATGTATGATCTGCACTTGGCTCATTCTCGTTTACAGTGTTTTATTTTCGGGTTAATGTGTAGGAATGTGGGGACATGACGTCACCTTGCCCTCGATAATCTCGAGGCTGGAAGATGGATTTACCACCAAATAACCAACGTAGTTGTAAATGCGGACGGGAAGAGAACCGGAAGTGACACATTATTTCATTGTAACTACGAGTTTCTATTAAAGTCTACCTATTTACACAGTTACATATCATCAATACTCAGCTATTAGTCATTTATAAATATATTTAGGTTAGATCAATATCTTGGCATTTACAACGAGTAAACATTGAGACACCTAAAAGCTCACAGTTGGCTAGCTGTTCATTGATAAGGCCACAGCGATAGGGAATTTGGAGAGTGAGCATGTGTACAATAGACCCAAATTAAAAAAAAAAACAATACATTGAGTCACTGGCTGGGTTACGATATCAGAATTTATTACTGGCCAGAATATTTTTGGGTCAGGGTTAATTTAATAAGGCAAAAGGTTAGCCAGTGCGACTTACTTTAAGCAAGCCATATAAAGAAAAGAAGAAATTTAAAACCAATCGAATGCTTAATTGAGCTCAATTTGTTCTAGGTTTCCAAACGAAAACGACATACCACACCATGATACCCGATACCATGGCAGCAGTCCTCTGCATAGGTCTTACCCTCATACTAGGGGTTGTGCAGGCACAGGAAAATGCAATGTTGCAGATACCACCGTCCCTCGTGGAGTGCTACAACACATCCTATTTCATGAATCGAGACAATCGACTGCCAGCCAATATGGATACGCTCATTTCGCTTATCGAGAAGGTAGAAAACAGCTACCCCACGTCAGGCATACAGGCGGACATTAGAACAGTTGCGGTGTCTTTGCTCCATCGATTCCGTCAAGACGGCATCAAGAAGGCCCCTGGGGTGACATTGGCCGTGGATGGTGTTATACCATACAGTCCTACTGGCTTCCAGTTTCCGAAGTTTCGCATTTTGCTTTCGCGCCTCATACCCGGCAATGCCAACAGTTTTCCAAACAACTCACTAACTAGTGTTGAACGATGCTCACTCCACTTTATGCTGTCCAACACCTTCGATACACGGGTACGCGGCGACGAGAATAGCGTATGTAGCCAACTATCCCAATATCGGGCGCAACGACTGCCGCGGTCAGCAAAGAACGACGATGAGAACAACTTTATTAGCGATGTTGAGTGGCTGAGTGGAGACACAGACACTCGTCCAAAGCGGGGACGTTCGGCCATTCCAGACTCAAAGTATGTACAGCTTGGAGAATTGGACTACGATTCCGACTGGGCTTATGCGGGTGCGGAAGGCACCAGCCAATGTCCCGTTGAAGATGGTGTTGTTCGTACCCCTTGGGGAACCGTTTCCGCCGGCACCGTGATAGCTGGAATAGCGGCGGGCGTTCAACAGCAGACAGTCCAGCTGAATACCTTGTTGGCTCTGGCCAGCCAACGACGTGGGCGAGGACACAGTCAGTCCCAGACGACTAACAGCATTGACAATCGCTGGGCGGCTACTCTGGCCGGAGACTTGGCCGAAGTCACACTTGTCCAGGTGCCGGTGTCTCCCAACAATGCAGCTTCTGTCGGCGCCACTGGTGGCTGGAACGATACGGTTCTACCGCATTGGTATTTCTTGTCGCAGCGTACCAATCTCGAAGCTACTGATGCTGAGATTCGCGGAGGCCTTGATGGCTTGATTTTAGCCAAAAATGTGGCCACCTGGAGAACTCAGGCGTCTAGCTTAAAATTGTCCCAGCTGCTCCGAATGTACTACTCCACAAATGGGGTGCTAAGCTCTGGAGTCAACGCCTGCAGTCGGCAAAGCCAGTTCCCCAATGTGGCACCATCCGCAGAAATGGCAGAGCAGACAAGTGCCTTCGCACAGGTTCTCGATCGGGAGATGCAATTGCGTGTCACCCTCCAGCCGCTTGCAATCACTCAATTTGCTTCAACCGCCGCCCTTTCCCTGGTGACGTATGTGCGTAAGTAATCTTGATCATAATTTGTATCATTACTATCGCGGAACCACACTGTATTTCATATAAAATGTATCATACATATATAGTAAATATCCAAAGGATCTTTGCAATTAACGATGATTAACGATGCAATGATGCACTGCATTGTGTTTCTGTCCTTGTGGATTACCCATTTTTTTTTTCCTATTTCTCTTATTGAATCAGCTCAATCCTTGAACGATGTTTCCTGTACGGCGACAAGCAGTCTAGACTTGACGGATGTAATTACTCCAATGACCAATTTATACATTTTCCTGGATACCTCTTGGCAGTACAGCTCCATTGTTGACTATGTGTTGTAAGTTGACTTTCCATTGCGCTATACACTAATACTGTATTTTATTGGATGGTCGGTCTCTTTCAGCTATATCATGCAACAGCTTAATATCCATCCCTATGCCAGCACAGTTACTTTGCTGTCAGCTCAGGATGGGTCAGTGATTGTAAATACCACACACTACATCACAGATGTCTCCCAACAGTGGAATGTGACAACCCAGGCGACATGTAGGTTATTTAGTGGCAAGCTATTTGGATCCAAGTCTAATTCTATTTGATCCCTCCTGTAGATGCCCAGGGTCTGAACTTACCTAATGTGCTGCGTACGATTCAGAACATTACCCAGAACCTAATGAACGCGGAGCAGACGAATTCAAGCCTGAGCGGTCATTCTTTGGTGGCTCTGATCATACCAAATCAGCAAACCATCAACGATGGTGACTCATCCTACGCTACCACGGAAATTCAGTACATACAAGAGCAGATACCCGATCTGCGCTTCATCTATTATGGTGGTGGGAGCATTCAGCGTTTTGCAAGCTTTGTACGCGATCCCACGCAGGATCTGTTCTCACTAACCTTGGGTAGTACGGTGGCCAGTTCAGCAGGACCAGTTGCGAAGCGCATTGCTAAAAGTAAAAAGCTATTTCATTCGTTTTGCTTGACTTATTGCAATAATGTTTCTCTTTCAGTACCTCGACGCCTCATCAATCCACGCTGCGGATCCACCTGGATCACAAGTAGCTGGGGCACTGACCAAACGGCCCAGTATGTCGGTCCTGGCATGGTAAACTTCTATCGGGTGTCAGCAAACTATTTCTTCGGCACTGGCTCCAACCGTCTCCTGGCTATTCAGTCCCAGAATGGTGGCAGCTATACTATCTGTACTTCACGCACCTATCAGTGGCCCCAGCAGAACTCAACAATAAGCTCGACCAACACAAGCACCATAGAACAGAGCTGCACTCAGATTACCGGAAACAGCTTTTCATATGACCTGTCCAGCGCTTGCAACGGCTATTATACCATCACACAGTGTCCTGATCTTTTTCTGTCAGTCCAGGCCACCACCAACACTACATCTTGCACAGAGGATGCTTGCCAGACACCTAATCAATGGCGTTACATTGTGGCAATGACCAACATGGGCTGCTACAGTGGCGTCTCGGGCCTCGCCGCCAGTCTTTTCACAGTCATTTTCGCATTGATACTGCAAAAGATGTTGAAATAGGTGCTGACAGATACGTCGTAGTATTAGTGGTGCAGTAGTGCAGTGGCAGAGTTCAAAACATACATACCTTCCCGTCCCTATCCGTGGTGTTAATTATTGTGTCGTTTTATATTAATCCCATGATTTTTTAATATATTAGTTGTATGTTCCAGTGAAATAGAATAAAGTCCCCCAACTAGAACTATGCACACTCGCCCTTTTATTTCTACAGTGGTTCCCGATAGTAAAGCCCCTTAAAGAAGGAATGTCAACTAGTTATTAATGTTCTCTGTTTCATTTTCAGCGATAATGGACTTTTTTCCGTTTCAGCAGGGATCTGATGTTTCCAATATGACAACAGTAATAACGAATATCTACGTGTTTGTCGATACATATTGGCCCTACAAATGGGTGGTGGATTACTTGGCGTAAGTTTTGGT